ATTTGCATAATTAGTTTTCAGCTAAGTAATTTCGAATTATATTTAATGTGTCTCCAATACTCTCAGCACATGGGAGTTCTTTCTAAGCTTTCTTTGATTAATCAAGACCTGTAGTCAATGGAAAATGATGTCCATTTCCGTCAAAAATTAACAAATATATGAAAAATTCTAATACTTGTGGGGAAAAAATGATGTTGAAAAATAAAATAAAGTTCAGATTATGGAGAGGTATTTACAAGTCTTTACAGTCATTTATACAGGCTTCATCATTTCCAATACTGTAAAATAATTACTTTTTGCTGAAGGAATGATTCAGTGAAAAATATAAAATCCAGCGAATATACCTTTTTTCCTATATTTTACATTCAACTTGTCAAAAATCAGTGAAAATAAATTCCATACAAAACACCCAAATAGTCAACAAAGATTAATACCATTCCTATAAGTCCAGTGATGGAACAATTCTTTGACGTCAAAACATGGGAGAAGGCAATGTCATTAAAATAAAATGAGTTGTTCGTCATTTATGATATAGTATAAAATCTCTCAAAAACATAATTATTGATAGACGGCTACAGATCTAAATGATATCCATGTTTTGAATGGACTTTTTTCACCCATTTACGTCATAAAGGCACAAGAAGGCGGGTTTTTTAGCAAAGTTGACTTACCCAAACCTTAAAAATATGTGCCCCCCCACTGTACTGATTTGTCATGTCATGTGTAAAAATCAAGGAAAAAAAACAATTAATTATTAAACCAGAGAAATGGTTATCAAACCATCTCTGAAAATACAAATATATTGATATCTTTCCCAAAACTAAACAGAGTTAAACATTTGGTAAACAGTGTTAATAACATTCCATCCCTCCCTCAATTACCCCCTCCTCCCTGGATTCGAGATACAAGCTTGATTAGCTGGTAACTGTTTTATAGTATAATGCTAACTGCATGCATGGATGGAAGACAACAACAAATAGAGGGACTGTCAACATATGTATACATTGCAATGATACATTTTTTACTGGATTTAATCACCAAAAGTAAATCGCAATGAATGTAAATTTTCTGTATTTGACAATTTAAGATAAATGATTGTTATTCACCTAAATTCTGCAAAAAACAAAACAAAAAAAACTTACACTTTCGGTATGTACTGGATGCACAGCAAAGAGCACACCGCTAAGAAGGCTGGCACGTGGATATGGAAATGAGGAACGTGAATCTTGCAAACTGGTGGCGGTGAACATGAGGGAGACAACTTTAAGAACAAGTACACTGACAACTGAGTGTAGTATAATATTCACTAAATGCATGGAATATGGGGAGAGTCCACCGGATAATGCGTAGTTCCACCTACAAAAATAGAACACACCACAGTGCCAATGTAAATACTTTTTGAGATATGAAATGGGACACACTAGAAGTTATTATTATTATTTGCTAATTAACTAAACAATACCATCTACAAATAAAATAATCACACCTTGCAATTGTCCCATTATTATATGTGAATAGTGAGATTGGACTGACTATTCTATACACAGACAGACAGACAGACAGACAGACAGACAGACAGACAGACAGACAGACAGACAGACAGGCTGTAAGAATCATAAGAATCATGCCCTTCGCTAAGCAAATAAATAATAGTGAGACAAACCAATTTCAAAAATTTAGTGAAAGAGAAACCCCAAAATCAGATAGCTTATGTCATCGAACATCTGAACAATTATACTTTCAATTCAAATCCTGTGACTCTTTACAATCTGATTGGTTGACAGATACCCTAAGAGAGCGGCCTAAATATGATTGGTCAGATGTAGTTAATATGCTGTACCTGAGTGTAAGAATGGCGAGTGGACGATAAGACTTGTGACTTCCATTAATAGAGATATTATAACCCCAGAAATCATGGAGCATCAATTGGAACTGGTATCTCCGGCGTCAAATCTTTATTGTGGATAATAGCTTCAACATCATCCAAGGCAAAGTCCGCCCACCAACTTTGAAAGAAACAGAGCAGCGATGCGGATGCAACAGTCAGTGCAGCCCCCAGAAAGGAGAGTTGGGGCACGGGCAGAAAAGCATCCCAATTTGTACTTTCTTTGTCAAGCTTGGACAGGAACGTTCTAACAACTGGAGGATTCCTGTCTTTCAATTTTGGAGGCATGACTGGTCATGCTGGAGTAAAACTGAGAAACTGTACAAGTACATGTATGTTTCACTGTGGAGTATGAATTTCCCACTGTAGTAGAATAAATGGAAATGTATTAATATTAATATTATTCATGGTCATTAACAAATAAATAATTCTACACTCTATATAATGGCGTGAATTTGTCTTATGTAAAAGTTTATAAATCTCTTATATATTTTAAATGGTGATTGTGGATAAATTCTTGCCCATATAGAACCCCAGTGTGGTCAATCAACCTTTAAATTCCCATTTTACACATATTTGCTTCCTAAAGCATATAGATACAATTTGAACTATGACGATTTGTGTACTGCTTGTACTTACAATCTTTTAAATTTATTTCCTCAAAGAAATCACTGTAACGGGATCTATCTTTTGTGTTAATGATAGTAACTCAGCCAATAATTGAAGAGACCTCTGCGAAAGGGCGTTACCAAATGTTTCAATAGCCAATAAAAGCATAATTTTGTACTGTAAATGCATTAATTATTCACTTGGTTTTAATTTTGCTATTATTAAATTAAATCTATGTGACTATGTAAAACAAAATTAAAACAAATTCGTGAAATTAAAACACAGTGAATATGCTCAAAACAGTGAATGGATTTAAATAAAGCGCAATTCATGTATCATGAAAACCAGTGTATTGATTTTATCTTACATTAAAAATTCTCTCTAAAAATGTTACAAAATACAACATTTTTTCTTCTACATGTCAGTTTTTGACATATTTGTCGATTACCATCAGTCACTAAAATACACTGAAGATGTGCTAGACAAGAGTCTAAAGGACCTACTTAAAGGCGGTAGTCGTCGTGCCGCGTATGTGCGAGATATACAAGTCTCATATAAACAAAGAAGGCGATTTTGACCGTTGCGCAGATCAACAAGTACAATCTGTGATATTACCAAGCTTAAATTAGATATTTTTTAGGTGACTGGAAGGTATCCAAAGAGTCACCGGCAGTAATTAGTGGAAGTCACACCCAGGTCAAACCTCATGTTTGTGATTTCCATTAGAAGAGCGCATTGGATTGTGGGAAAATCGATGTTTATCAACACAAATGTCGCACATGCGCAGTACGACGACCACGCCCTTTAACTGCAAACACACCAAAACTCCAGGGGGCAGGGTGGTAATTCAGTTATCACAATTTCTCTTATTCTGAGTATCAGATTAAAATTACGGAAAATATAAGTATTTGATTAACTACATAATGACAATGGGTACACAGTGTACCCACCAGTTTGAACGATTTTTTCTAAACCCAAGTTATTTCGCTTCCGGTTATTAATGGTCAATACCACTTGGGTGATCACCGTCCCTTCATCAACTCTCGCCAATAAGTTCAAATCACATGTTCATTGTAAAACACATGGCTAGATTATACCTTTTCAGTGGCTTCTGTACCACGGCAACATCTCGCTGGC